GCTGAATTTAAACATTGCATCAGCGAATAGCGAATAATAATTACAGAATGAATATTCGTTTACTGACACTCTGACCAGTCAGGTGTTTTTCATGAGACGTGTAGGCTACCACTAAAGAGCTATGGTTTCCAGACAGTTATAAGAGTTGTTGTTACAAATACGCCTCTTCAATATGTTGTACTGAACAGAGTTATCGCAAACAAAGACTGTTTAGTTGTGCTATCTTACAATCAGTATACAAATGTAAGGTGTCGCCGATGTAATGGTTAAAACGTGAAGAGGGGATGGGGTCTTAAAATGTATGGAAGGGGTCTTGAAAAAGGTCTTAAAAGGTATTCCATTCAATTCCATGATTCCTGTATATACCCTGTTCATAGATGAAAGCAGCGACTACTCATTACTCCTGCCCGGTCTGGGTTGATTACATGTGAGCTATGTTTATTCCACATCCAGGCACGACAACTTCTGGAGAAAGAATATAACTCCCTCATCGCCATGGGAACAGAGAGGAGGCCAGACGAGGTGAGCGCCATGGGACATGAACACAGCTGGATTTTAATCATCCACCTCCCACCACTGATATACACACTAGTATATTGACACTCCTCTTACAGGGTTTTTTCGATTTCATAGCCAGTTTGAACGTTCAACTGTATTTTGTATTGAAATGACCTGGCTGATAATTCAATTAACAAGTATTCTCTTCTGCCCTCTCGTCCTCTAGGACGGCACTAAGACGTTCACCCGCTCCCCTTCATGGAGGAAGATGTTCCGGGAGAAAGATCTGAGGGGAGTGACCTCTGACTCCTCAGAGACCTTGCCTGCTAACTTCCGTGCCTCAGCCATCTCTACACCCTCGGTCACCCTGAGGAAGGTCCAGAGCGATGGTGAGCTCGACAGCCTCCTCAGTTTTGGAATCTCTTATTTAATAATGGGATTTTGATGCTTTCAGTTCACAAGAAAGTAGTGGGAGAGAAAGACGGAAATGAATATCATAAATATCATTGATAAAGGGCCTGTTTGCACCTGGTCACTTCATGTGTTTGAACTGATTGGATAGCTATTTAATTTGTTAAAACTGATCCATTTACACCGCAAATGAATATAAATCTGATCTTTAAATGTCACATCCAATCAGATCCAGGTGATCTCCAATCATGGCTATCCAATCAGATAAAACACACAAAGTAACTAGGAAACAGACCCTTAGTAGGTAGACAAAAGTAGATATAGCTTTTACCATATATTTATTTTGACCGTGTACATGTAATATAGCATACTAACATAAATAATACAACACGCAAGTGATCAGTAAGCATTACACACTCCACAGAAGTCATATTTGAAGGTTACTTCTTCCTGATAAATTTAGGTAATTACAAATTCATGAAATTGTATTTATTTATATACATCAAAAGCAACAGGAGTTGACCCAAAGTGCTACAATGTAGAAAAGTAGACTGTTTCAATAAATTCTGCAATAAGAAACTATAAATAAGGGAAAAACCTAATTAGGTAAGGAAAGGCTCCTGAAAAAATAACCAGGATAGAGACTCAAAGATAAACAAGGCTTTGTGGAAATCCCCACAATTAATTCTGAAATAACTTTATGACAGTGTTGATGCTCAGATAAACATTGTTAGAAGATTGTTTCCTTATGAGTAAGTGGTTCAGGAGTGAAAGCTGTATAATGCTGTTTAGAATTAATTTTTTTATGACTAAATCTCACTGGTCTGTCTCTCCAGCATCTCCAAGGGCAGAGTCTGGCTCAGTGAGGACATACTCCTGTTGAGGGACTGCAAAGGTGAGACATGACTAGCTATAGCTTCTTATATATATATATATATATATATATATATATATATAATTTAAAGCATTTAAAAAATAAATGTTCACTTGCTGTAGCCCACAAGATTTAGACTTTGTAAATCTAGAAAACTGAACAGAAAAGCATAAAGAGAAAAGTATTTAATGACCATGTGTGGGCAGGGCCCCCAAGAATTGCGGTGCACCATTGCTAATGAATACCTTCTGTGTTCATACTTCAAAAATTCACTCATTTACGAGTTAGACGGAAAGAGTTTTAGCATTCTGTTGGGTTTCCTTACAGGGCCACAATGGAGTTGATTGACCCCTCCTACATATTTCGCATGCTCCTTAAATGTCTTGTGCTGTCAAACTTGTTTTGTGCTGTCAAATGTTGCTTTTCATGTTTTTATTGCGATTCATCGTGTGCTTTGTGTTTGCGGCTGTGTGTGAATCGTTATCAGTCACGTGGAATCGGTGTCAGCAAAACTTTGTAGGATATGGACGCCTGCCGTTCACAAATGCATCTTGTACGATACAGCTTTCAGCCATCCAGTGTAGTGCACCTCAGCTCATCCTTGTTAAAACGCACAGTTCTTCTCAAAATGATAAAATGTCTGCGGCTTCCATCTGGGATTGGTCATTGATGATGCTTTTTCTTGGCTTAACTTCAGCGCACAAAATTGTGACGATGTGTTATAATTCTCTCTCTCGCACACAGGAGGCGCCGTTGTCAGAGAGCTGGAACCGGCTTTACATTTCATTCACGGGGAGGAGGGGGGATAAGCAGAAAAAAAGCAATGAATATATACATTTATAAATATAACTCTACTGGTCTGACCATTCTGCAATAACAGAAGAGGGATGGAAAAAGAGGGGGAAAAAGAGCAAAAAAGGACAAAAGACATGAAGAATGTATGACACAAGTGAGTGGTAAGAAATGGGATGATTGGAGGAATCGGATGACTGTTTAATCTTTCTTTCTGTCGTTGTCTCTTCTCACTTCCTGTGTCTGTGCTGATGGGACATCTGTAGATGAACTTGCTTGTCTTTCCTTCCTTCGTTTCAATGGCGCTGCCCGCAGCCCTAGTTCCTCAGAATGGCTGCCTCTCTCGAGAGCAAAGGATGTTTGTGGCAGATCCACCTGGACTTCAGGGATGTTTACATACGGTGAGGTTCAGAGGAAGTGTACTAAAGAGCACAGTCGAGGCCGAGACTTGGCTGTATGTGTTTCTCAATCAGGAGAGCGAGCACAAGCTGAGAAAGACAGGCGCACCGAGAGCTACACGTGAGGCTGCAAAGGGCACAATTCTTGCTCAGTCACTACTACAGTAGGCGTTTTCTTTTTTTATTTCTACATTCAGATTAAAGATGAAAGATCAGCAGAGCGAGTCAGCAAACAAAGGGATGCTGGTGGTGGCGGATAGATAGAAACACTGGGAGGTGAAGCGAGAGGGAAGATGCTTGCGGACAAAGCAAGTGACCAGCAGAAATGAGTCCTGATGGACTGAATCGTTCCAACAATGCAAGCCATAAAAGACAACAAGAGGTGAATCGAGGAGGAGAAACGGGGGACAGGGAGGGAGGGAGGGAGGGAGGGTCAAGGGAAAACTGTTTAAATTGTTTAGCTTCTGTGTTGCGATGCATGTCAAACAACCAAGACGACGACGAACTAAAACTTTCGGGGAATAAGACAATATGAAGTTAAAAATAAAAATGATGTGTACATTAACAAATGAGGTTAAGAGCTTGGGGAACAATTTGTAAAATGTGTGTATTTTCATTTTTATTTTTTATTTTTATGATGACTATATTTATTTTCTTTATGTATGTATTGAATAATTGTATGTACATGTTCATTTAATAATTCTGACTGTAATTTAATTTGATCTAGTTAAAAGCGTAAATATGAAATATTAAAAACATGGTCATTAAAATATGCTACTTGTATGTGTAAATTTTGACAACAAAATTGTGTTATGATTAAAAAAAAAAAAAAAAACATTGCTGTTGATGAGGATGACAGTGATTCGATTTGAAAATGATGTCTGCAAAATAAACAATAATGATAATGATGAAAATCTAAATAAAATAAAGTGTTCCTAATGGTACTAGAGTTCTGTGTGCTCGTGATTTTCAGGTGCTAATTTGCTGAAACGGGTGTGTGTGAGGTGAATTTATTTAAAAATGATGACTACAAATCGATGCGCTTCCTTTTTTTATTACAAAACAGAACTACAATCATATATTCCACTTTGTATTTGACTAAAGCCCTACTCACTCATCCATCTACTTTGTAAAAAAAATGTCATATACAAAAGTTTCTACCTTACAAAGATTACATAATACTTTATTACAATGACTCAATGTGAAAAATTAAATCAAACCCTGTTGACTGATCTCCACTGCTTTCTTAATACAGTAACCAGGGAATCAGACTACAGTTCATTTAATTCAACATTCATTTTTTGACTGCATTTCTGTAATGTTGGATGAGTGAACATGTGCGAACCATTGTTCCAAGATGTAGCTGACACTGAAAACCATGATGAGGCACATGTTTTGGGACAGGCATTGAAAGCCTTAAAGGAGTAGTTCACTTTTAAAAAACTTTTGCTGATAATTTACTCACCCCCATGTCATCCAAGATGTCCATGTCTTTCTTTCTTCAGTCAAAAAGAAATTAAGGTTTTTGATGAAACCATTCCAGCATTTTTCTCCATATAATGGACTTTACTGGGCACCAAACTGTTCAAGGTCCAAATGACAGTTTCAGTGCAAACTGCGAACTGTTCAAAGGGCTTTAAACGACACCAGGCGAAGAATAAGGGTCTTATCATGCGAAACGATCGCTCATTTCAAAAATGACTCGAAAAAAGATTTGTTCGTTTTGATGAACAAGTTCAAAAAGGAGAGTCACAAACGCTCATCAATCTTTTTAATTTATTTTTGAAATGACCAATCTTTTCGCTAGATAAGACCCTTATTCATCGTCTGGTGTCGTGTAAAGCTCTTTGACGCTGCACTGAAACTCTCATTTGGACCTTGAATCCCATTTGGTTCCCAATGAAGTCCATTGTAAGGAGAAAAATTCTGGAAAGTTTTCATCAAAAACTTTAATTTCTTTTCGACTGAAGAAAGAAAGACATGGACATCTTGGATGACACGGGGGTGAGTAAATTATCAGCAAACGTTTTTTTAAAGTGAACTACTCCTTTAATCTCCAATTCTGCGGACACTAAACACAAGTCCTCAATCATTTTTGGTTGTTATAAATACACATATATTTGTATATGTTTTACATATTGTACATTTATAAAGAAATATATTAATATCAAGTACTTGCACTTACATACTAGCTCAAAAGTAATAACTTATTGTCTGTAAACTATAGACACAATAAAACAAAAGTAACACAATATATGAAAAGAAAAGGGAAAAAAGATCTCAGTATTGAGGTTTTCTTGTTTGTGAACATTTACGCACTGGCCTAGTGAGCCGTGGATATGGACTGGAGGGATGACAGCAGAGTGGAGGTACTCATCATCACCTCATACCACTCTAATCCCACAAAATGAGTTGCACCTGGTGATCAATTCATGACTCAAATTGCTATGAGTAGGAGAAAGTGTGGCGTGCAACATGGTGGAATAAGCTACAGTTAAAAGCTCCGGTTCCCATAGAAGTCTGAGACACGCATTTGGGACTGCACATACGCATTGGTAGGACCAACCTGAAACATACCTGTTTTTTAATGATATTTGAGCACAAGAAACACCCTTTATTTCATGAGTTCACATTAACATATAATCAGATATAGTATAAAATATGCGTACTTGGCGTGCCATTCGAGGAGAGGGCTCGGCCTAGCATGAGCCAAATAGCTGCCTAGAGGTGTTGCAAATGTGAATGACAAATGGACAAACTCCTTAAAATGGATTTTGATTTAGTCCACAAGTTGTATTGATCACTTTTATAGTGCTTTCTCGGAGCTTGACCGCCAAGTTTGTTTTTAGATGAAATGTGCTAAATGTACAGTGACCCCAAAAATTATTTGGAAGCTTAAGCCACAATTAAAGATGTATTGTAAAAAGCACAATCACAGGTCTTCAAATATGAAATAATAAACATATTGTTCAAAATGAAGTCAAAAGGTCTTGAACACTTTATGGTGGTCAAACTTTGTTCAACTATCCCGATGGTTATTCAGCGAGGATACCTGTGTGAACTTGATGGGAACTAGCTTCTTACTTCCATGAAAAATGACCTCAAGCAATTCAAAAAAATGCTGGGGCCACTGTTTCCTTTTGTGTTCCTCGAACAAAAATAAATCAATAGGGGGTTTGAGCAACATGTGAACCGGAACCGACACTTTTAGTCCCTTTTATTAACATGATCTTTCAACTCTGTCAGTCCTTCGTTCAACTATCTGTACCTTCGGCCTTCTCGCTCTCTTGCCCTCTCAAACTTCTTCTCAGAGTTGTACGTTCCTCTAGTGAGCAGAACGCAAACACAGGAGGAGTCAATACGGATCCACCTCCAGCCTATCCTCATGTTGTCGTCTGAGGTGAGCGCACGTACGTATGACTGTTTGGTTTCGCACCTGCTCATCCAGTGTTTCTTATCCACCCCAAAGCAGCCCGCCCCCTCCACCCCCTGCCCTTCGCTGTTCCCTTGCTGAAGTGGCTTACGGCACTTCGTTTCGAAGAAGTACTGCTTCAGCGGCCCAGTCTGTGTCTGGATCTCTTGCAGAATAGTGACGGTTTTACTCCGGAGGTCTACCGCTGTCTTCTTGTCGGTCACCCACACGCTTTCGGCCTCACATACGGAGCGCTCGCGACCTTGCGTGTTGAGGCCGAGCTGACGTTTGCGGCGGACGCTTGGAACGTGGTTGTCAGAATCAGACAGACCCAATAGTAAGTTCCTGTATTCCTCCATGTCGCGTCCATTACTGGGTGTGGTAACATCCATTGTGTGGCTTTCCTCGTCCTCAACATCTTCAGCCAGCAAACCCAACTCCAGCATTAGGAGCAGAGGTGGGTGTTTGGGTGGGGAAAGAGCCGGGGAGAAGAGTACCCGGGGATGAGCGTCCAGCAAAAGCAGCTGATCTTCTTCTCGCAGGCCTAGGTTGTCGATCCTAAAGCCCGGTTCCGTTCCAAACACTCCATTTGGCTGTGCCAACTCTTTTCCAATGGTGCTCCCATCCGTTTGAGCTTCATCCAGATGTTCCTGCACTGGAGAGCTCTCCAGAGTGACCATAGGACCTTCAATGGGCCCGTCTTTTAGTTTACTTCTTACGTTCCAGTCATCTTTAAGAAAAGTTTCTGCCTCAATACTGTTTTCTTCATGTTTAAGCTGATAGTCCTTGAGAATGTCGTTGCTTGGGGAACTGGCTTTTTCGGCCAGACTTTTTTCTGTTTTGTATTCCGTATGATCGTGCGACTGGGAGGCATCTGCTCCGGTAGTCCTGCCTTCACCTGTGTAGTCCTGTTTTGTGTTATTGAAAACAAATTTTTCTGTTAAAAGATTCTCTTGGTTTGCTCTGCCCTTGGATATGTGGTCCTCCTCATGTGTAAACGTGCTCTGCTTGTCGACTGTGTTGTAGTTGTTGTGAGAAGCAGCCTCATGGGAGTGGCTGTCCATTGATGAGTTGGTTGGCAAGCTGATCTCAGCTGTCGGGACGCTGCTGGTTTTGCTGTCGTTTCTGCCAGGCTCTATCGTCGCGGCTACAAGCCTGGGGACAGGAATTTGAGGGAAAGGCAGGGCCGAGGCGATCACCATGGCAACCAGGGGAAGCCAGTGCATCACTCCCAAGACGTGTCAACTATAAATTGAAAAAAGATAAGAATTAGAAAGGGCATAAAGAGGAAAAATGGCAGATTTTAACATGACATACTATAGATATAGACAGATATGTGAATAGATATATAGACAGATATGTGAATACAATACAATATTGTATTGTATTGTATTATAGATATGTGAAGAGTAAAACATACAACAGATAGATGACAGTAACTGTATGATGGATTATTGAAAATAAACAACAAAATGTAGAGTGGAGACTTAATGCATAGGTTGTTGATTGGATGGAGGTAGATCTTAATGCGAGCTTGCAGTTGATTGTGATATTGGGGCGGGGTTACGCAGATTAAATTATTGGAGAAGTCCAGCATATGTCACCAGAGAGAAGACTGTTATTTTGATTAAAAAAGGGAAACGTGCACAGATGAATTCACAATAAGATCTAACATGCATTTAGACACTGAAGACTGGAGTAATGATGCTGAAAATTCAGCTTTGCATCAGAAATATATTTGAAAGTATATTAATAGAAAACCATTATTTTAAATTGTAGCTTAATAATATTTCAGTTTTTTTTTCTTTGATCAAATAAATGCAGGCTTAATGAGCATAAGAAACATTTTTAAAAAAAATAAAACACAACTTTTTTTTTTGCTTGCAAGGCGGAAACGGTCTTTCAAAAGAATGTCTCAAAGCCAGCTCATAAAAAAAAAAAAAAAAAAAAAAAAAAGTAAAATAAGCCTAAAACTGTTAACCTATAGGTTTACTGCTTTGGCAACAGCCAGTGGAAAAAGATGAAAAATAGCCTTATTTTTCGTGTAAAAAAGAGAATGAAGCCGCAAACATGCTTTGCCATCGCCTGCTCCGGTTGGTCGGCACAGACATGAAGTCACCAGCTAGTCAACGTCTGGCAAAGCTCAGTTTGGAATGAAGCCACTAACAGCATTTGTCTGGTGCTGGGCTAGTTTCACATGAGACCACAAACAACTCCGGTATGTGTGGAAAAGGTTGTAAATTTCACAGTTTATGAGTATGAAAGATGGAAGAAAAAAAAATCCACTTTTACTGTATGAGCCGAAGTATCAATTCCACTAAACTATTTCAGGCTTCAAAGAAATGCTTTGATTTGATTGTCTTTTATTATCTTTTTTTTTTTTTTTTTTTGTAAGTTTTGTGCTTTAGCTTCATCTTTTTTCCATACGTTTAACCTGATTGTCCCATATTCACACTTCGGTAACATGACTCTCAGCAACAGCGGGAATACCTCAGAGATTTGGGTTATTTATTGACAGGAACACCAAAGTTCAGCAGTCTTCTACCTAAGACATGCTCCGGGGTGGTTACTGGCCCTGTGGTAGTGATTTATGTGCTTATTTAGTGGGGGTCAGAGTAAAACTACAGTGATAAATGAAAAACTCTCTTCCTTTCCCTTTCAGCACTCAATAAGCAAACACACGTACAGTACTGTACTATCAACCACCAGGTGGAAGCAAAACCACCACAATCAATGATCAAATGTGTCTCATCATATGGCACTTTTTTGTCTCATTCATTGTACAATCAATATATATACTCTACTCTGTTCAAATGGTTGTCGGTAAGATTTATTTATTTATTTTTCATTTTAACAGTCTTTTACTGTATGCTCACAAAGGCTGATCAAAAATAACAGCAATATTGTGAAATCTGATTACAATGTAAACTGTTTTCTTTAATATATATATATATATATATATATATATATAGTATTCTATTGTAGTTTATTCCTGTGTTGGAAAAGCTGAATTTTCAGCATCATTACTCCAGTCTTCAGTGCCACATGATCCTTCAGAAATCAGTCTAATATGATGATTTGGTTTGATTTCTGCTTAATATTTTTGTGGAAACAGTGATGCATTGTTTTGGGATTCTTTGATGAAGAGAAAGCATTTTTACAACATTTATTTGAAATAGAAATCTTTTGTAATGTCTTTACTGTCACTTTTCATCAATTTAAGGCGTCCATTTCCTTTAAAATGTCTTACTGAGCCCAAACTCAGATTTAAAATCAGATTTATACAAAAAATGTGTGCAAACTACATAGTAAGCTCACAAATAAGCTCAGCTGTGATGCTCTTAACAGCAGCAAAAACTCAAAAATATCTTCTAAAGATTGATTTAGAAGCAAGTATGCAACAAGAAAAAAGTGACCGCACAGAGAGTGCGTAGTCTTGTTGATGATACAGTGGGGCATGCAGCCAAACTGATGTAAATCACTCACCAATCCTGTTGTTGTGTGCGGAGAAATGAGGGAGGGAGAGGCAGAGAGAGAAAGAGAGTTCAAGAAAAGAAGAATGCTCAGAATGTCAGTGATGAAGCTTCAAGCTAGAAAACTACTCCTGGCAGGACACACTACTGAAGGGTGAGTAAGAGTCAAGTAATTATTTGTTTGAGGAGACATAACCATTAGGCTCATAGGGAGAAGGAGCTTGGACAGGAAGGTTGTGTGTGAAGTGCAAAACCACCACTTGTGACACTCATAATAACAGCACCCCACCCCGGACAATGTTTTCTAATTACACTCAAGCCAAACAAACACGCTCGCACACAACGCAGAACTGAGCCTGCGGACACACGCAGGGAAAGAATGCCACCAAGTCCATACATATGCATGCTGGGACATGGAGCGTTACATGTTGCCTACATGCTGACTTCCTGTTTACGTTAAACATAAAAAACAGTTCTGTGATTTACAAATGAGGCTCTACCGTCTTTTAAATGCAAATTAAATTGCCTAACGCAGAGAGATTTATAGTCTTGTTCAGTCACAACTCTCCATGATGACAGAAACATTGTATGCAGCGAACAAGAATTCAAACTTTGTCTCATAATTAAAAAAAATGCTGAGACAGTGTCGATAAAATCCCAGCATGAACTGAAGTCACATATATGAGTGCATAGAAGAATGAATCAATATTTAGACATTGTTTAACAATATTTAGACTATGTTCAGATAATATGAACAATAAAACAAGAGAGTGCAATACAGAAAAAAAACCTAATTTAAAACACTAGTCAAGTTCGTAGAAATGTACTCGTTGTATTCATGTTGGTTTCACGTGGCCTTTATCGAAGTTTACATTTAACAAATCTAAAAATATCACGTGGTATACTCAAGTTATAAAGTGAAGTAGCCAATGTGATTATATACACACATTAATCTAGCCTGGCATGCCAGACCTACATCAAGATGTTAGATCTGGGAACTCATCATTGACAGGGCTCAATTGTCAATCGGAGGGGCGAGATAAACGGTTGTCTTTCAAAGTCTCTCTGCACGCAATTAGATAGCGCTACAACCAATCACAGCAATGAAGAAGGTGACGGGTGAGTCCCATGGGTTTTCCCACCAGCGGAGCAAGTTGATATATTAAACTTTTACCGTATCCAGTCTGCAAAACTCTGAACACATTTTTTTTTTATTACTCAAGTGCCGTTCTTTGTTCTGGTTTCAAAGAAAAGCTTAAGTTCAAATCATCCAGAGAAGCGGTGAAAGCTGAATCAAAAGACAGCTGTTCGCCAGCAGCAGCCATTCTTTGTTTTCAAGTACCAGTGAACCGTCGCTACTCTGTCGTCATTATGTTAAGCCCGCCCGGCGACTCTATACACGATGTGATTGGCCTGACCAGAGTTTGGTTTTTCCAGCTAAAACGTCTATGGAGAGTTGCTAGACTACACTGGCTGCGAAATAATTTTTGCTGCCGCTAGGGTGCGTCTACATTTCTAGGTTAACATTCATCTACAATAAATTATATTAGGACTTAATTTAAAGGGGGGGAGGGTGGGGGTGGGTGTCATGTTCACTCCGGTATTTCGTTTTGTTTTCGCATCATACATGTGTTTACAGTGGAAGTTTGATGCGTCTGAGCTGGCGAGAGTTTTGCTGCCTCCTTAACCTGATCCCCCATGAGTGCAACCAAGGGGGACACAATCACAACTATTGCCTTGCCGGTGTTGTGCCGAATTTCAACCCTTGCCAAATTATTACCCCCCAAGCATTGGTAGTTGTAGGGGCGGGGTTGGGATTAGGCAATCAGGTACTGACTTCCACGAGGGGGGTAATAATTTAGCCTAGAAATCTAGACCACCCTAGCGGCAGCAAAAATTATTTTGCAGCAAAGTGTGGTCTAGCAACTCTCCGTTGGCTTTCGAAGTGGAAAAACCAAACTCTGGTCAGGCCAATCACATCATGTATAGATTTGGTGGGCGAGCTTAACACAATGACGGCAGAGTTGTGACGGTCCTGCGCTGTGATTTCCATAGGTGATTTCTCTGCAACTTGAAAACAAACAAGATGCTGCTGACGAACAGCGGTCTTTCGTTTCGACTTTGGCTGCGACTCGGATGACTTAAGTCAAAGGAAGATGTGTTCAGAGTTTTGACGACTGGATACAGCAAAAGTTTAATATATCAACTTGCTCCGCTGGAGGGAAAACCATGGGGAAAATGCATGGGACTCACTCAGACACAGCCATTCATTGCTCTGGTTGGTTAGCGCTATCCTATGGCGTGCAAAGGGATATTGAAAGACAACCTTTTATCCCGCCCCCCGGATTGAGGTATGCCAATTGTGAGTTCCCAGACCTAACATCTTGATAGGTCTGGCTTGCCAGGCCAGTAATAATTTGGCAGGGGGTCGAAATTAGGCACAACACCGGCCTTTGGCCTGACCAGTTTCTCGCTGACGATCGGTAATAGTTGATAAATTCAACTTTTCCCAAAACCTGTCGGGAGTAGGGCCACAACATCACCTCCATTCAAAATGTTTAACAAACACTCTTCTTGTTTGGGCTTCAGTTTGCAAATGCCGGGAATATTCTCCACAACAGAGCGAATTGCACTCCATATCCGTGGCCGTTTTCAATTTCCCTAACCTAAAATACAATCTTAAACTCTGTGCTTAGCATCTATGTCACACGGCTCTCAGCCCCCCCTCTGTTCGTTGATTGGCTGGCTGTTTTCAGTCCGGAGGAAAACTGAGAGACATGTCGATGTCTCAGACTGAGTACAGAAGCGAACAGAAATAGAGCGGAAGTACGAAGCTAGAAATTGTCCGTTATTCTGCCAAAATATATATATATATATTTTTAACTTTGGCCATGATTAGCATGAGAATCCATCTCTTTAACACTGTAAACAACTCTGAATACATGAAACACCATACCCCCCCCCCCTAATAATAATGATTTAAAATAAAAATCTATTAATCAAAATAAAATGTTTCTTTTCCCAATGAAAATCATGAATTATTAATTCATAAATATCATTATGTTTTTAGAAATCATGCCACATTACATTTTTCAACATGTACTAACCTTGCCTTGTCATAAAAGCATCAAATGATGTCATGTGGGTTTTTCGCAAAAAAAAACACACTCACAATGAATTTGAACTCATAAATTAAAAATATGCTCAACATAGAAGATGCACATTCAATTCAATGTATGCATGGATTGCATTTTTACTGCCAAAAATCGAGACCAAAAAAAAAAAGTGTCTTGTCATCGGTCCAAAAATTACTTTTTACAGAATTTACGAGTGAATAAAAGAATTTTTGTGGTTAAAGGCAGTGTGTGCGTGCACGCTCCTAAGCAAAAAGGGTGCAGTTCATGTGTAGCCTACCTGTGTGACTTGAGAGGATACTTGCTGGTTAATGCAAATGTTTGCTTTGGAAAGGGAACACAAGCAGTAGGCAGGCACACACACGTGCAGGAGGCATACCTTTAGACGCTGGGAGACACTTCATCAGCGCGCTCCATTTGCAGCAATGACATGCATCACAAATTCTGCCATCCAGAGTGGCCCTGCACTTTCTCTCCTCACTTTATAAGCAGCTCAAAAATGAGCCACCCTCACATAGAAAACGTCAAGCTCCTGAACACAATGAACCCGCATGTTTGTTTGACCCCATCTTATACACTCTGCCTCCCAAGAACCTGTGCACACACATCCACACATATCTTTGATCTGAACACACTACTCCCACCCCCATGACAAGCATAATCTGCGATCTTCTAGACAAAAGCCACCTTAGACAAACACTTTAGGCTCTCCTATCTCTATTCTCAGCTTCACGCCACTGAAAACTTTTTCAGCCCGATTTATAAATAACCTCTTTCTTAGATGTTTAACTGGAAATCAGCCGGAGGGTCCAGTCCCACTTCATGGTGTCACAATATAAAGCCAGTCAAATCAATTACTGCAAATGTATGGCCTTTTTTATTTATCCTTTCCAATTCAAACAAAAGCATGACTCATGATAGACATTCTACAAGCCCCCTGTTCAGACTTGACGTGTCTGACGATTTTGGAATTTTCCCATCGTCCCACTCGCCCTATACACTTGGCATCCAACGCAGCACACTGTCTAAACTCCCATATGAAGAGATGAAGAATTCAAAAGAAAATAAAAGATAAAGAATGCAGGTTTAAAATAATGTAAAAGGGGTCAACCCATGACAAAATCTAATTGTATAACTTTATATTAAATGTGTGTCTTTTACATTTGTTTTACTTTTCACATCCGGAGTTACTGTATACTAAATACTGTACCTTTTTACTGTAACCAAAAAAGACCATTTATTGAAACTGAGCTGCAATAATGCCTTGTAGCTTCCACATTTTGTTTTATCTGACAGAAGAATACATGAACACGTATTCAGTCCTGCCCAATCATATCATAGTCAAATAATAAGGAAGAGGATTAAAAATTATTCAGATGTTACAAAATAGTGCTAATTGCATCTCTGAAATATTTGTGGAACATGTGTGGAAGTCTTAAAGATAGAGTTGGAAAACAGTGGCAGACCATTGATCATGTATAACTCATTTACGGACTATAAATGAGGAACGTTTTGAGGAAATTGTAAAAAAAAAAAAAAACTGATTTTGAAAAAATAAAAGAGACAGAGGAGAAGAAAAGCCATCTTTCCTAAAAGGATGCTGCACAAATTTACTCAAAGAAAAAAACTCATCAAGGGGCTATTATTCCGAAACAAACATTACTGACCCTCCTCTTCCTTATGAAATCATTTCTCTTTAAATAATTTATTTTAAAAAAAAACATCTGCATACTGTACAGATGTGTCTGATCACAGGCACTGTGCTGCTGTTTAGAAATCAGTAGCTTTAACACATCCAACACACACTATGAGACACAATCCACTCCTCTCACACTTTCTGATGATCTCCATCCGCTTTCATCTGTCTGATAAAGAAATTTAATCAGTTCAGATCCCAACTGAATAGATTTAGTTTTTTTCCAAGTTTTTCTGTCTCAAATAGCCTTTACCCCACACACGTGTTAAGGGGGGGAGAAAATGGTAAAGTAAACATTCATTTGTTGTAAACAAAGGTTGTGAGCTTTTGTTTTTTCTAGGCTTGGCAGGTGACTGGCAGGATGTGCATGCAGTGTTAATTATTATTTTTATGGCTGCATGGACCCACCCAAAACACCTTTCCTGTAAAAACAAACTGACAACTAAGTCTATAGTATTAGTCCTTACATTTGTTTTTGTTTTGTTTTTCAAACTACCTCCATAGGATATTACCTAAAATATCATACGATTAAACGACATGGGTTATTTAATACAAAGATCACAAGAAGTTATTAAATCACAAGAAAGTAACAGCCATAGTAGCCTACATGCAAAAACACACCTGTGTATTTCAACATCATGTTGCATTGACTTCACCTCTCCCCCCCACAGGTCCGCAGGCGGACAGAAAAAGGTAGTAAACATTAATTCCTGACCGCGGAAAGTAAACACTGGGTCAACCTGAATTGACAGTGGACGCACCGCACATTTTACCGCAAATTGCGAGATCGATGAGCACCATCGATGTTTAGCCTGTTCCAGTTTTGTCGAGTCGCTTGCTGTTGAAAAATGTGAGTTTAAAGACTCTTGGACTTCCGCCAAAATAGTTTTGAATCCATCTCTTTCAGTGCCATGGGAAGCGCTTCTCACGATCGTCTTAAAGCCGACTAGCTAGCCTAATAGCCTAATAGGGAGTTCAACTCATTTCCATGAATCGGTTCTTTCGAATAAATCATTTCAAATATCCATTAAAAAAAAAAAAAAAGAAAAAAAAGTTTTTTCAATTAGACTGTCTTCGTGATGTGGTCTCAGTTACATGCGGTTGAGAAAATATGCCGGCAAATTGCATGTTTATTGCGTTTTTTTCATTGTTATTGTTATTTAAGTTAGGCTGTTTTAAATACGACTGTTTATTGAGATGTTATGTGTCCCAGTTTATTGCAGTAATAAATCAGGTCAAAACGAATTTTTAATCAATAAAAATATTTAAAATAATTTACATCGCCTGTAAAGGATATTTTAATAAAAATATATTGTTTGTTGCTACCAATGTGTTTGGACTCCCTCGAAAGATCGAAAGAGAGAGAAAAAAAGGAACTAAGACTCGGTTCACTGAGTGACTCGATAGTTAAGTTACTCGTAATGTTTTTTTCCCGCTTTGTGAATGAATCATTTTACGAACCGGTCCATCAGATTTATTATAAAGATTCGATTCAATATAATGATTCGTTTACATTAATTCTGATTCTTGACGACCTGTCATTAACGATTCCGATCAACACCTGCTTCACATTAAATTAGCTGTGACGAAAATGAACCCAAATAAACTGCATCTGTCATTTCGCCAAGTATGTCGTAGCGTATGAATAGTTGACGTAGCACCTACCGTTTAGGTGAGTTTCGAGCCACACGTATCTTCGGCAAACACCACATTGATTCTGTACAGTTCGTCAATCTCGTGCAAAAATCAACGAAATTTCCAGAATAACTCTCGATTCACATAGATGAAACGGCAGACGTGTCCCATATCATCTCCAGAGTCCACTCTGAGAAGATCCACGTTGAGTTGTATTTCCACGGTTATCTGTTTAAAACGCGACTTTTAACCTCAGGTCTGTCTTCACGCGTGAGTTTCTGGAGGATTGACATGCAAGCGGTGAACAACCAGGCAATAATGCACGTCTGCACTGTGTATGAGCTTGAACTCTACTTTTCCAGCAGTCAGACACCAAATCGCCGACGTGAGCTGTAAATGAGAGACGCTGAATCTGAAGAAAAAAGTTGAAATAGAACGTTAAGTGAATGCAAAAATTCCCGCGGCGAGAAGGTCTGAGTGCTGAAGTCGCGCGATAAGGTATCTCCATGAAAGGCGGTGAGGGGACAACAGCCAGAGGGAGTGAAAGAGGGCTGGTTTAGAAGAAGAGGAATGGACAGAGTGAAAGAAGACATTATGGTGAAGGAAAAAAAAAGGACGAGGACCATCTGCTTGCGGTGGGTGTAGAGAGTTCTCAATCTCATAATGGAAAAACACAAAAAGAGTGGGAAAATTGCTTAAATTCAATAGATAGACTGTCTTAGCAAGTGGTTAATTGAGTTTGAGTCCAAATTAATCAGCACATGCAAGCTTCATACACCAATGATGATTTTTAAGTTGTTAATAACTGCAACGAAAAGTAGAAGACAGCAGACTCATTTGTTATGTCAGTTTGTGGGAGTTTGAATGTTTTGGATTTGGGGAGCAGCTCTTGAAATAGGGGGCCAATTTGTTAAAGCAATTTTCTCTGGAGATATATTTATTCATTTATTTTTGGACAGCATCTACTGCCACCCAGACTTTTATAGCAATAGATGTATATTGCCTTCTCTCATTCTCCGTCTCTTGTTTTCCCCTCCTCTTTCCTTCTTTCACCTAGCAGAAATTTCCATCCCACCAAAACCCATTTCCCCTGAAAATTTAAAAAGATGAAAGGATAAGGAAAAGAAAGGACACAAAAGAGAGAAGTGTTCTGTTACAACCCTGCCCCTGTGAGACTGTCCATGAAAGAGTTAGGGGATGGGGGAGAGAATAAGAGAACGAGAGGGGTACAGAAAAGAGTTTTTCAAATGAGGAACGGGGAACCGTTGTGGAACTTCATATTTAACACACACAAATACAGGTGCACACACACACACACACACACACACACGCAAATACAAAGCTCAGTAAGATCTAAAATGTGATCCGGCCCCCTCAGATCTTTGCTTCTGTCCTCTCCTGATGCTATTCCTCTCTCCTGACGCTGTTCCTCCCTCTTGGCATTTAGTGTCATTCACTCCCAGTCCTTAACTCCTTAAGACTATTCTGTCTCTCTGGTTTTGTCTGAACTTGTTATGTATGCACTTAGATATTTCAACCCCAGGGCTTATTGGTGAGATTGAAGGAATGAGAATGAGAGAGAGCCACAAGAACAGAGAATGATTGAGAGAGAGGAGTCACTGAGGTATTGAGCGAGATGACAGGCGAACAAAGGTAGAAAGGAAAAGAAGGGACAACTCAAACGGAGGTACAAAAGTTCTTACTCGCACTCAAGTGGCTAAACACAAATGCACTGAAATCTCCAACACCTTGTCTTCGAAGGAGAAAAATGTATTTCTGCATCTTAATTTTAGTATAGAATGAACCAGCATTACTTGTTTTATGACCTTTACCTCTTCAAACACCTCATCACACAAGGACCACACCGCACGTCACTGACACTGAGTCATAAGCGAGAGCCTCAGATGAAATTTTTTTTCAGATGCCGAACCACAGATAAGAGACTATCCTTCGCACGTAACCTTGAGCTTTGGGAAGGCGTTCAATAAATAGATGCTGCATGTTATAATTATACCAATGTTTCTATTACAGTTTTAAAAATGTATGTCATTGTATAATTTTATTATTTTGAGTTTTTATTTTCTATTTTAGTTTGAGTTAAACTTAAGTCATTTTGTTGTTGTTTTTTGACATTTTTATTAGTTTTTAGTATATCTGTTTCACGAGTTCACATTTACATCCACTCGTGTCTAATTAGGCTGGATTACCTGAATGTGCTCCACCTGTGTTTAATTCTAAACATGCTCCTCCCGAACTTTGTTAGTAAAACATCATATAGTTTTAGTTATAACTGCGTTATTAAAATGAATTGTAATAGAATTTCCCAGACAGGTCTTAGATTAAGCCTTAGTTGTATTAGGACATAAGTAACTTTCATAAAAGTGCCTTAAAAAATTGCTTGTGCAAGTTGCTTTAGTTAAAGGAGAAAGTAAAGGAAATTTATTTCAAATAATCATAAAAAATGGCCCTGCCCCTGATATCAATAGACATTAAGAAATCATGTTCATTTCAAATACTTATGTAGTCCAGCCAGGATATTGTAATTTAAAAAGTGAAGTTGATGTTGTCATGTTGTGTTTTGGTCTGTTGCTCCACCGATCTATCAATCACGAAGTCAGTAGTGTTGCGGCGTCCGGGTTGCTTTGCTCAAGTTACCACAGCTATAAACGTGTCGGAAAAAAAACAATTTCGGAACGTGTCGGAAAAAATACAATGGTGTTTCATGTATTCAGATTTGTTTACAGTGTTAAAGAGATGGATTATCATGCTAAACATGTCCAACATTTAAAAAATATATTCTGGACAAATAAAAGAGAATTTCGGTGCCAAAAATCTTTACTTCCGGGTTTTTACAGGTTTCGGCTGTTTTTTTTTTTTCACAGATGTTGTACGTTATAACTCGCGCATGGTGTTCTAAAAACACTGCACTCCAGTTCAAATCATTTCCCGCCTCAGTCGGCATCAAACTATACTTCCCACATGTTCACCTTAAAAGAAAAAAAAATATAACGACATACAGTGAAAATTTGTCATTTACAAAAACCGCTAAGCAAATATAAGTTGCATTACACATCACATAGAGACGTCCTGCTGTAGTCGTTGCTGCTGCTCGTCTTCAATTTCAGCCTCAGGATCTGACTCGGGATCAAAAATGTACGGCTGAATCTGATTGTTAGACTGTTCAAAAGTAATAATACTGTAATGTAATATCTAATATTTATTCATTTAATTATTTACATCCGTGTTTTAAACTCTGAAGAAGCTTTTACATAATTATTATACTTGGTACATTTTTGTTTCTTTGTGTCCCCTGCTCATAGTGTCTCTGCACATTCGTTTTTTTCCATGGCAATGGCTATCCCACCTCAAACCTCAAATATCAAAGCAAATTCAGTCTGTTACATAACCATTATAGCAATTATTGAAAATAGCAGAGCTGTCAAGGAGACCAGTATGTTGTCCACGGAAGCTCTCCTGGGCCTGAGGTTATGCTCTCAAAGAGGCGTCATTCATTTATTACAACACCCCACCCCAACCACACACACATCAGAACTCCACCTTATATACTACCTTAATTTTCCTCACCCCCATCACCACTATTAGCTCTCTCCTGGTGTTCTCTCTTTCACTCTCTCTCACACTGTGGGCCGCAGCATGTGTTTCCAATTTCGGCTGTAATGCACAGCTCACCGCAATCTGACCTAATTTGCCCCCATCTCATGGATCCACCCTCAATAGCACCCACCGTTCCAGACAGGCTAGAGGTCAGAAGTCAAGGGTCGTCTGTGGGAGTGCGAGCCGAATGAGTCTTTGATTGTTGTGTCAGGTCCCGCCGCATCATGGGCATGTTCATCACCAGTGGCCGACTGCTGTAATTTCTTCAGTATTTGAGAATAGAGAGGGTTACCAATGCCTGAAATTGGATTTGTAGTGAGACAAAAAGGTCAAAGAGGGGAGGTCAAGAACAAAGGCACGAACACAAACACAGTTTTTAACAAAACAGGCTAAAGTACATAATCCCACACACCTTAGATGAGTGGAAGGCCTTGCTACTGGAAAAGAGAGGGGTTTGACCAAAGGATTTAAGAGGAGAGATTGATTTTAGGAATGCCTTAATTATGGGAACGGAGAGCCTACACTCTGTTTAATCCCTAATGAGAAACAGCTTCATATGGAATGGCAGGAGGCAGAAGAAATGGGTGAACTTTAAAAGGAATGATAGTGCAAGAGGGAAAGCTTGTCAGCCTTTATAAAGCACATAAAAGTGTGGCTCCATGCTGTGTGTATTTGCTGTAGGCCCCCCTTTTTTATAATCTAACCCTCAGCCTCACTTTACAGTTCTCATAACACCAATAGAGGAAAAAACCATTAACAGAAATAAATGCAACGAGCAACTTGCATGCTGTGGATTTGTGTATGGAATCGGGGCTACCAGTCTTAATGGTTGTTGATTGAGCACGCTGTGGTGGACCGCTGTTGCCGCAGGCATCCCATGGGTCTTAAGGGCTTTATGTTTTACTAGAGTTTATCTTCACTTCACAAGTAGTGTCCTTGAGAAGATAAGCATAGATAGATTGATTATCTTTGAGGCTGGCCATGCATCGCCCCAGGGTTTTGGGCGATGTTTTTTTTTTTTTTTTTTTTTTTTTTTTTTCGTGCAATGAAAGTCATGAGGGTCCAATGTGGATTTCATTCCAATGACCACCATGGGCAACAACTTTTGAAACTTTACAAAGTAAAACTGAACTGGTATGTAAGTGTGCAATAATTTGTGACAGTTTAAAGAGCCATAGAAACATAAAAAAACACACTGAAGGAATTTTCCTGTGTTCCAGTTATTCTCAAAGTTAATTTAGAATGAATTAAAAGAACATGAACATGGAACATGAAGTGCTCAGATGTTCCTGCTACATTTATTAATTACATTTATTGCATTTTCAAATTTTCTACGAACATCATATGCTGTTGGTCAGATTGTTTTGGTCTTTTGAGAGGAGCTGTATAAAGAGTTGAATCTAGTATTGAAGTTGAGCCTAGGTTTTATTGTTGTACAGGTATACCTGATTAAATTTACTTGTTAAACCACATCAAAGTACCTTTCAGCTAACTTCCGACCCTCTTCCATCTAATTATTTTTTCAATACAGTATGTTCAAATTTGGAATAAAATTTGGTTTGATTCTCAAGAAAGCATGAACTTATAAAATGCAATGTAATTTGCATTTAAATATCAATTGTGCCTCTTACGTTCAAAAAACAGAAGAAAAAAACTGTTTTTAAGCATCCACGCTGTAAAAATGTTTGTTTCATGATTTATCACAACATTTTTTCTTTTGTCAAATCAACTTAGATCTTGTATGCAGTTCAGATAACATACTATTTTGAGTTTCTTTTGATTAAACCAATCTCCTTTTCATTTAAGGCAACCAATGTACTATTATTAAGTTAAACCAACACTTTTTTTTTTACAGTGCAAAAAGGCAACTGGCTCATTTAACTGTAGGGCATTTAGACGTTTGACA